CTTCAATACCAATGTAGCGCGTAGCTCAGTTGGAAGAGCATTGGGCTAGTATTCCAAAGGTCGTAGGTTCGAATCCCACCGTGGCCGGGCATATTTTTCAAGGTCGCCCGGTGTGGATATGCACTCAGAGTAACATCACAAACAAGTCATACAATTGTTAGAGTAAAATACACATACAATTATTAGAGTAAATTAACCTTTTAAACTTTTTACTCCTTAAAGGACAATGGCAACAAGTTTTTTTATTGTCTGTATTTATTAAGCTTACTAATGGAATACTTACTAATAGAAAGGTGGTCACTATAATTGGTGTAATGAATAACCACACCTTATGCAAATTTGGACATATTCATTGATAGTTACGGTGTACTTACTGTCATTTCAGTGTACTTATTGACGTGATGGTACATTTTCACACACATACAAATTTAAGGTGGTCACTATAATCGGTGTAATGAATAACCACACCTTATGTAAATTTGGACATATTCATTGATAGTTACCGCATACTCACTGTCATTTCTGTCCAGTTATTGATGTGATGGTACATTTTCACACACATACAAGTTTAAGGTGGTCACTATAATCGGTGTAATGAATAACCACACCTTATGTAAATTTGGACATATTCTTTGATAGTTACCGCATACTCACTGTCATTTCTGTCCAGTTATTGACGTGATGGTACATTTTCACACACATACAAGTTTAAGGTGGTCACTATAAACGAGCTATCATCTAACAACTGGAAACAAGCTGAGCAAATCCATCTTGCGACAGATCTTCGAGATTTTTAGCTGTGTGGGTAATACAAGGATATATAGATAGATATTTACATGTACAAGAAAGTAATAATTAGAGCTATTTACAAACGTTTTAAAAGATATAGAGTATTAAAATAGTAACATATTAATGTCTGATGAGAAAGTTGGCCGACTATTTACAGGCAGGCATATTACTTACAATACTTATTAATCATAGATGTGAGCAGCTATTTTATTTCGAAAGGAAGAAAGTGATTTGATTTCCCTAATTTCTTTTGGAATGAAATTCCAAAATTTTGCTCTGTCGCGATAAAACTATTTTTCATGTTATTAGAACGAGGTTTTGGTAAACAAAGACCAGTTGAAATGTCCCGAAAGCGATAGTTTTTTTCCTCACATTTATATGAAAATAGATTTGGGACCCATTTTATTTAATACTTCATAAATCATTTTGCTTTAGCTTTCTTCATTAATGTTTTGAGTGGTTCCCACCCCAATTCACACTCTTTCAGTAGAATGATTTACGTCATTACTCATATTCAAGATAATTCTCGCATCTCTATTTTGCAGTTTTTGAAGTTGTTTTGATTGTGTTTCGTCAAACACATCCCATACTTCACAACAGTAATCGAAGTATGGGCAACAATAGTGTTATATATGGAAATAAATGTTTCTTTGTCAACAAAAGGTTTGACTCGACGAATAGCAGAGATTCCTGCTGTAATTTTTTTGCAAATATTATTAGTACTTTTCCAAGATAAATGCTGGTCAACTGTTACTCCAAGAGTTTTGCATTCATAAACTTGTTAAATTGTTTATTTACAATGACAACATTCGGATGAGAATCAGATATCTTTTGTTTTGAACCGATTAGCATGAATTCAGTCTTGGCTACATTAAGGCTAAGTTTATTGGCAATTAACCATTTACTAAGGTTTTCTAAATCAGATTTACTGCAGCCACAAGACAGTTATAGAATCTCCTGAAGCTGTCAGATTTGTGTTGTCGGCAAACAAACACGGTTTTATTTTATTTAGACATTGAGGTAAATCATTTACATACAGTAAAAAGAATAGTGGCCCCAAAATAGAGCCTTGTGGTACACCACATTTAATCAATCGCTCATATGAAAAGGAGTTTTTATTTGACATTTCTGTTTTCGGTTTTAGTGCTTGTCCTTTTATCACCCTATAGGTCTAACTTCCTCAATAGAATTTGATGATCAACAGTATCAAATGCTTTTTATAAATCAATTAAAACTACTAGGTTAAACATTTTGCTGTCTAGATCTGGTCCAAATGCAAAGAGAGTCCAAAGTTTAAGCGAGAACTCATTAAAAGCATGACCAAAACAATAGTTTGGATTAATGAGTGCGCACTTGAGTGGGACGGAAAATGAATTTCTTGATTGATGTATAGGAAGGACCTCCACATGCTGTATTCGTCCTTCTCATATGCTTGTATATATTATTGTATCATGCATGAATTGAATGCACAGACTATACCTTTTTTAATTGTAAAAATAGCATAATGGGGGAGGGTCTAAAGATACGATTACATGTTACGATTTGTGGGACCGATTTTAGATACACGTCAGTGATATTTGAAAATAAAGTTGGAAATGTCAGCATGGCAAGAACCAAAAATGTTCGTATTAAATTGAACGAAACAAAATGTCGCGCCAACAAATCGCGGTGTGTAAACGTTTTAAGTATTAGACCGTTCTTTGTGATGCAAAAGAGGCCATGTACTGCATGTATACAGTATATGGGTGATTGGAAATATGGGTTCACAAAGTGATCGATGTCAAGGCTCAGTGCTGAATTTAATACTAAAAATGGCATTACATTACAGTGCACTTTACATGATTGTGTATGTTCTACACAACCTACATAAAACCGTGTTTTTTTAAACAATTGACAATGCTGTTGTGGAACTCCAACGGTACATTTACAGTGGTAATCTTTTCTAACGGTATTTTCCTGCGAAGAAAGAGGTCACTCTCCTGCTCATTTTCATCACATTTCACAATACTTATTGCCGCAATGGATATTTGATCTTTGACTAATTTGTACTTTTGTAGGTAACTTCGTCTTTCGTTTTGTTTAGCCAGTACCCAGAAATCATGGAGTCATCTTGGAGATCACGAAGTTCAGAGAGCTTGTATGGGTAATAAAACAACCAGTATGTGTCATTTGTATCTGTCTAAACTGGAAATATGTATCCTTCATGCTTTAAACACACCTCATAATTCGACGCCAGTGATTGAAATGCATCTTGGGAAAAATATTTCTTCCCAAAGTCTTTCAGTGTTTCAAAATCATTTTTGGTAAGGTTAAGATTTGGTACTTCCACGTCATCTTCCTGGATAATATATTTCCCAGTTACTGTATCGTCCACCTTTCACGCATCTACAATCTTTGATAGCACTCTACGAATAGTTTCGAAGCATTCTGTCTCGCTCTCCTCTTCTCTTGATGCTTCAATTAATTAGAAGACTATGTTTGCTTCATGTTCCATAATTATTTTGATTTGGTCCATGCCATAACAGTTTGGCTTCTTAAAAAGTATATTGTCAGGTAGGCCACTGACAACAAATCCACCGTTTTGATACGGTACTTTAGAGCCCGGTTTACCACATGCTTCACCTGTAAAAAAACGAAAATTGTTCTTAAGCAAATAAACAAGGTAGAGTGATATCCATAAATAGATATACACTTTAGCCGTTGACTACAGAAACAACTATTTTCCTAAACTAAACCTCAGTTTATCAAAGTTTCTGTGATCACAGTAGGAATTTTTCATAGGTTCATCCTAAGTTGTAATTAAAATGAAATGTAACAAATATCAGGATAAAACATGTTAAGCACTGTTTTATCCCTCAAATATTTCCAGGAAAAGATTCAAAACTTAGGATTTATAATCATCTTAGCCATAAAGTATTTCACTGCCAATCATACTATTATCTTCTTACGCTGGAAGCATGATAAGTTACAAAATGTGTACAAACCCACAATATTTACCATTTACATGCGTGCAGAACAACTGTGTGCGCATTTGCCTAAATACATTGTTGCTGGACCAATGTGACATTGTTTGCCGTAACATTTGTCCAACACATGTGTGCAACAGATGCACGACTATTGTACCATGTTGCAGTTTTGTGTAAAAGACGTACATATAAATACTTACTGTATTTCTTGTTAAACATATTTTGGACATCCTTACGGGTATAATTTCTGCTGGAACTATCTTCATTATCTAAAGGTAAATAAGTTGTTAATAAAAAAGAAAAACTTTGCAAGTTTCAAGTATATTTAACACTTAACAATGCATATACATATATTGTACGCAATTCTGGAGTCTGCCTACATACTGTAAACAGGTGAATAAAGCCAAAGCAAAACATAATGAACTGTACGTAAGTAAATATACCACTGAGTGCATGGGGGATTTTTCAGCAACACCACAAACATCATATTCATCTGAGTACATAACAACAACACACACAAAAATTTGCCCTTGTGACGTCATAAGCAAGGGATAATTGAACTGATACCTAGAAATTAAATACGAAATACATTACTGTCGAAATACGCCAAAAATGTTAATGGTATTTTCTCATTTTCTGCCAGAAACATAATGCCATTCTCTGACCCATATTGCCTTACGGTACCAGTGTCAGGATCCATCATTAAAACGACAGTCTCGCAACCAAGATCTTCAAGATATGATAGCTGAAAAAATACACACATGTCATTATACATTCAAACTGTATTCTAATTTTTGATTGACCGAAAAACCGCAAGTTCGATGTAAAAAACACAATACCCTCCTCGCTTTGACATCATATACTGGAAGTAACGTGAAAAGCTAGTGAAAGAATGAGTGAAACAGCATAGCTTCTTGTAATTTGCCATAATAAACTTCAGAAATTACCAAATTCAACAAGTATTTATTATTTTATTAAATGTTAATTTGTATGTTTTCATTTTTCTCTCCTTTGCAAATTTCGGCTTTAATATACACCTGTACAGTACATGTCTGTTTTTTGTCTTTTTAATTATTATTATTATTATTAAAACTTTATTTAAAGAAGGTTAATTTACAAGGAAATATGCCAGTTTAGCTTTTGCTAATCTTCCACTGGACCTTCTCAAGTTAACTATATAATCGAATATATTTACATGCAGTACAATTTACATTTCTACAGACTACAGTATACATAATTACATAAAGTACATATCGATATAGTTATAAAAAAATTGGAAATAACATGCACTGCATCTTATGAGTTATTTTTGTACATATCCAAAAACAATTC